TATTTTTACGTATTATATTTATATAAATAATATAAAATAATTTTTATTAATATTACGTATATTAAACTTCCTGATGAACAGACATCTTAGCATTGGAAGCGATAGCCCGAAAAGCCTTTATTAGAATTTAGTGATATGGGCGCACCTGTGCCAGGTGGTTGCTGTAATCTGAAATTGACCAGACAACTTAGCTAGAAACTTAGTAGAGTCCCTTATGTTGCTTTTTTTTGTAAATTCTTTAGTATAGATGGTCGGGTTTCATAGTTACTTCTTCAGAAAATATGTCACTATTAGTTGAAGGTTTACATTTTTAGTTTTGTTTTTCAGGAATTTACTTTAGAAAGGAGATAACGAAGTAATATTAACTATGGTTTATTTCCATCCCCTGTTGAAGATGGTAGTTATTATGCATAAATGTAGTGGGTCTGTTAGAGGGGTGGCGATGTTCAGTTAACTCAAACGGACTTGCAATATAGTTACGGGGGTAGTTAGTCATTTGTTTGTTAGTTTTTAATTTTACTATTATTGTATTTTTGTATAAATTAATAAAATGTACTGATAGTATCACATCGTTAAAATATAAAAAAAAATGATTTTGACCATTTCGACCATTTCGGATATCTGAATGATCCATTTTGACTTTATGTATAATGCAAAAAATAATAATTGGTGGATTGTAAGTAATTCTTTTGTTATATTAAAATATATATTATTATAACTTTAATATTTATTTGTGATTTAGATAACTATTACACATACTATAAAAGATTTAATGTATATAGTAAAATATCCTTCAGATGATAAACTTCATAGTGCAATAAAAATTGCTTTAAATAATAATCATCCTGAAAAGAATGCAACAATATTCTCAAGGTAATAAATGGATTCAATTATAGCGTAAAATTTCACCAAAAGTAAGTAATAATCATAATAATTTATTTTAATATTCTATTATCAAAAATAATTTTTTATAATTATAATTATTTATATTTTTATATTAGGCTACAGAAAAAGCACGAATAACATATAAAACCTTTACTAATACTATTAAAGTATCTCTTTTTTTGGTTTTTTAACATAAAATTGAAAATTACTTTATCATCTCTAATTGAATTACATAAATGAAAACTTGAAAAAAATACAAAGTGGTGTTTAAATAATTTTGATATGAAAATTAGAAATAGTGGACTTATGTATATTGATACTATTACAGATAGAGTATTCACGTGACTTAATATGAGTGTGGTGTTGATTAATTAGGATTGATCCCCTTCAATTTATTTGATCTGGTTGATAAAAAACTCTTATAAAATAAGATAAAGCAAATAAATATAAAAATATAATAATGATAAATTTAAAATTTATATTCTTGATTCCATTTAAATTGAATTTACATTGAACTGTTTGCTGATTTTTTTCCGCATCACCGAGTAGTTTTTATAGAATAGTTAATCAGGAATCGGATACTTTTAAGAGACAATGTGTAATAAAATTCAGGTAAAATCCTTCAGCTTCTATGAAACAATTAAATGTTCATTGTGTAATATTATTTTTTATTTCTTTATACGTGGACATTTAGGATAGTCGCTTAACTCACTACTGTAAATTGCGAGTGCATTATTATAATCCATTTATTAACCATTTTTGACAATAACAAACAATAACGATAAACCGGTAATTATCAACGTTTATTATCATATGTTCAGTTCCGAGATTGGTCATATGACCGAAATGACCGAAGGATAAAAGGTCATTATTTTCTCAACCATCTCCAACCTAACTTTTTATTTCGAAAGACGAAATAATTCTGAAAAAAAATGCCAAAAAGAGGATCTAAAGGAACTCCCTCAAAACCAGCGAGAAGGTCAACTCGAATTAAACGTGATGAACTTCAAAGCGAACAATTTACAGAGGCTGCTGTTCAAGAAGTTTTTTCTGAAAAAGAAGAAATTCGACCTTTACCTAAAAAGCGTACAAAGACTACCTCACTCTCCTCTAAAAACACGCGTGCAAAAAGAGTCCGAAACGAGGAAAAACATCAAACAACTGAGGAAAGGAAAACTAGGGTGGATAGTGACGAGTCAAATAGTCACGAAACCGAAGCAAAAAAGGACGCGTTATTTAGTAACAAAAATAAGCCTGATGATTTCACAATACTCCCTGTTTCTCAAGAGAAATACAATGTAATGAAAGACGCGTCAAGTCAGGATACGTTGATTGAATCAAGTCGTGACAATTCAAATTTTCATGAAATTGATCCGCTTATTGAGTCAAAATGGGAATTAGTTAAGGCCAATCTTTTTGAAGTTCCTAGGGAGCCGCTACCACCTTATCGTGAATATATTGACAAACTGTTTATTAGACGTCCTTGGATGAAAAAGAAGGACATTGATTATCTTCAAAAATTATACACTGATCCCGATTCTTTACTAGCTAAGAAACAATTGAAAGTAAGAAGAACTTATATTAGATGATTTGCAATGTTTTCTTTTAAAATGAGAATTATTAATTCATAATGCTTCTTAAACAGCATCTTATTAATTATGACATATATAAAGATTTTACAATCGAAAACAAAAGTCGTCTTTTGAATCTTTTACCGAAGTGTGACTTAGTTCCGATCGCGAGTGATGACGTAGAACCTATTGATTCGCCAAGGATTCAAAGAGAACATAAAAATGCAGGATTGGAAGCTTATGAAGCAGGTGTATCTGGACAGGTCAGCGAACTTGATCCCAATAAAGTTTGTCCTCGATTTGATTTCTGGTCTTCGGATTCTTTTAAAGATGCTCGATGGTGGTTCCAAACGAGCATTAAATTAGGATATAATACTAAATATGGAATTGACATTCAATGGAACAATCTTGAAAAATTCAAGACCGTAATTCCCGATTATTGGAAGGTGAGCAAAATTATACAAAAATAATACATGTTTATGCTTTAAATTAAGATTATTGTATGTTTGCAAGTGCGATGAATATGAACGAGAGTGGGGAATTGGGCTTTGGGCAAAAATTGGAGAAAAACAAATCGCAGGGTAAAATATATTTAATAATTTGCATATTAAATAGAATTCGCACTTCAATATTAACTGATTTGTGAATATTAGCGATTCTGCTCAAATGTCTCTTCCCGAAATGGCCAAAGCACAGGTCATTAGACTCAATGATTCGTGGAAATATAAACGACAATTTAAGAACGTTGGGGTAACAGTCTCAATGGATCTGAAGGTTAGTTCAATCTTGTTTAATTTATTAGAATGTTATTTAATGACTTATATATGAATATTAATTTTAGGTTATCGCCATTAATCAATCAAATGGCCATATGGACTTCAAGTTAATCAAAGATGGAGAAGAAATAATAATAAATGATATAAATAAACCAACTCGTCTAGAAAATGAAGTTCTGGATTTTGATGGCCGTGTTGCAAAAGGTTCTCGTCCTAATGGTAATGCTTTTAAAAACTTTAGAATTGTAAGGTCAGAAGGTTATACCCCAAGCTTGTTTGAGGCAAGGAAAGAATATTGGGCAAAAATTCAGTAATTCCTATTGTTTTTCGTATGCTTTTTTTTCATAACATGAATTTAATACATAACAATTACCTATATAATCTACAACTAACAAATGAGAGGTGGTTTATCAAATGTAAATAAACATATTTTTAAGTGGTTGATTATATAATACTTCCAATTAGTTCACAACAATTCTAATGTGAATGAATGAATGAAAGAACAAATTATATGTATTTCTGGAATATTAATTAGGTCATAAAAATTATTAACCGGTTAACAACAGGTTAAAAATTCTTAATTAACCGCTTAAGTCTGCACTATAAATTCGCGCGGAATTAGGAAATTCTTTGTAATCACAAAAATCTTAATTCTGGCCGAAAATTAAATTTCGGTCGGAGTTAAAATGAACTTATTTAATTACAAGATAATCTTCTTAAGTTATTATATGATATATTTAAATTTTAATTTAAGCAAAGATACCATATAAGCAAAATATTTGGAAACTAACATTATAAATAAATAAACTGAATTGATTCAATTTTGCTTCAAATCTCTATTTTGGGATTTATTAAAAATAAAAAAAATGATACATATATTATAATTAATTAGCCTTTAATAATAATATTAAATCATTAAAAGTTATAAAGTTATAGATAAATCACTTTAAGATCTCATAATTCCAGTTTACAGATAAGTTTGATATGTTAAGATTAAGATAAATTGATACAAATTTATATAATCAAAACAAATTATTTGAGTTTGAATATTAAATCATAATATCAATATATAATTATTATAAATAATAAAGCAATTAGATTGATTGCTAAAAAAAGGTGTTTTGATTTAAATTTGTTATATATTTATGTTTTATTTTTAATTTTATAATCTGAAAACAAAGATATCAAAGATATATATAAATTAGAAATCAATTTATTTTAAATAGCTAAAATAATCAAAATAATTAAAATATTTTTTTTAGTATAGTAAGTAGTATTATAGGTTTATTAAATTATAATTATAAATAAGGATGCTTGTTTAAACCTCTTTAAAATTTATGATTAGTTTTGATAAAATTTTAATAGTTTTATCATAGCTTCTTTAGTTTCATTATTAATTATAATAGTTTTAGCATTTCAGTATTTTACTATTATTTTGCATAAATTTTTATAAAATTTTAATATAGTTTTGGCAAAGTTTTAGTAAATAAAAAACTCTCTAGTTTCTCTAGCAACCTTAATCATAAAAGTATAAAATACTTTATTAAATAAAATATACAAATTTTAAGTTATTTTGTAATTATTTTCAAATCTGTTTAAATTGATTAAATATTATTACCCCTTTATTAAATCTATTTTATATATATAAAATGATATAAAATTTTTACAAATCCTTTGATTCTAATTAATCTCAAAAGTATACTTTATAAAAAAAAATATATACAAATAAAAATAATAAAAAATATTTTAAATTACAGTTATTATTTAACATAGTTGAACTAAATCATTAAGATCTAATAAAAATCTTTAATTTATATTTTCATATTAAGATATCTATTAATTCAGATTATACTATTCCTTAATATAAAATAAGACTTAAATCATAAAAATATTTAAATTTAGAAAATATCATATAATATTTTGTAATTTTTACATTAAAAATCTGAAAAAAAACTATTTGCTAATCAAAAGAATATATACTATTTAAAAAGAAAAAAAAGTATTATTATGTAAAATTTGATATATCTAAGATATATAAATTCTAATTATCAGTTAGAATACTTTTTAATACCTATTTTTAAATAATTTAGTTTATTAAAGAAAAATATTTTAACAAAAAATAATATTATTTAGTAGACTATCACAATAATTTTATATTAATAAAAATGTAAAAAATAAAAGAAGTATATTTTAAAAAATGAAAATTTATTTTATTTGCAATTAAATTGTAATCATTTTTGAATAGATATATTTTTTTATCTAAAAATTCTTAAAAAAAAATCTAATGAGAAATAATAAGTAAATTCAATATAAATTCAATAAGTTAAACTATTTAAAAGTATTTGGAAGCTTTGTAGTAAAAAAGGAGAAAACTCTAAAAAATTTAAAGTTTTATTTTATAATTTAAATATAATTCTTTTAATTAAATAAGTTCAGATTTAACATTAACTCAAAAAAAATTTTTTTTTAAAGTTTTCTTCTTTCTATTGCAAATCTTCTATTTGTTATCTTGTAATTCTATCTTTGAAATACTTTTAAATTGATGTATTATTATCTTATCTTTTAATAGTCTTATTAGATCTTTCTAATGATTACTATTATTATTAAAAAAAAAAAAAAGTATCAGTACCTATCTAAAATCTGATTATAAATTATGTAAGTTATTTGCCAATTATATATATAATTTTCAATATAAAAAAAGGTTTTTAATAAAAAGAAATTAAATATTTGCAAATATAATAGTTAATATTCTTGTCTAATTGGTTTGTCTTTATCAATATCTGAATCAGAATTGGCTTTTTCCTTTTTATTTTTATTATTTACTTAAAATAAATCTGTTTCAAAAAGAGTATTGTTCTCATATTTTTCTTCTTTACTTTCAGCTATATTAGCTAAAATTTTGAAGTATGACTTTACTTTTTCAATGTATTTGATTGGTGATTTAATTATTTGATTTTGAATTTTAACTTAAAGTTTATCATAATCAAAATACATTTTAGTATTAAATGTTTTAAACTAATTAATTCCTAATAATAAGATGTCTTATGATAATTCAATTACTTATAGTTTAATAGTAAATTGAATTCCTTGTATAATTAAAGAGACTAAAGTAATAATTCCTAATGATTATTTTCTTTGTTCATTAGTAATTACTATTAAATATAATATGATTAATTTAGCTTAATTTTCAATTTATTGGTTAAACTTGTTGAGATAATATAGGTAGTAGCTTCTAAATCTAAGATTACTTTAACTGGATAGAGTTTGTATCAATCACATAATATAATAATATAGGGTAGACTTTGTCTTCAGTCGGCCTCCTCTACAGTCACCCCCATACAATCACATCATAAAATCCTCCGTTATAAGCATACCTTTCATAAAAACCAGTTCCTATTAACACTATATAAAAACCCTTCTATAATCACAATGTTTTTATAGCCACACACCCCGAATCTTAAAAATATCCTTTTATTTTTTTGCTGAAAAGCCAGTAAGGGATAATTGATCTGCAAAATGGTTTCCCGAAATGTATTAGTAGTTTTCAATGATGAAAAAATAAACAAAATTTATTATAATTAGATTTATAAATTTCAAATGAAGATATTGTGTTTTGTGATTTTTCTTACACACATCGGAACAAATCAACTGTTTCCAGCTTCTTGAAATATCCAACGCGTTTCGAAGTCATTTTCTAAATTCCTCCCTCCATATTAAAAATTCGTTTTGGGTTAAGTTCCCTTTGAGGAGATTAATTTGCGACTTATTTTTAAAGAAAGCGTTAGAAGTGTTAGATTTAAGAAGTAGTTGTCCCATAATACTATAAAGAAAAAAAATTTTTTTTATCGAATTAAAAAAAATTTATTTATTTACTTACCATGATAGAATCGTAGTGGGGGATCTGATTATTTTGTAAATGAATTTGAATTTATTTTATTTTTTGTGGGCGTATACCCAGCTTTAAAAAAAAACTACACTTGTCTTTGTTTCACAGGTTCACAAGGGAAGGGTTGTTGAATTATAAATTCAATAGATTATTTTGTCATAGATTTTATTATAATTATTCAGGTTTTAAATTTCGGCTTTAAAATTTACTTTCTAAGATGTAAGGCCGGGTAAATAAAAATATTTAGATTCTCGTAACCCGCGCGCGTCAATTTTCAAAATATCAAAAAAAAATTTTTTTATCATGTGATTTGTATATAATGTGGATGTCAAGTTAAATGCATTTCATTATAATAATTGGATTGAATAAATGATATAAAACTATTCATCTATTCGCCTCTTGGATTGTTCTAATTTGACTTTCCTATTTCTTTTTTATTAGCAACTGTAATATAGCATTCATTACAATAATAATAATGCCATTCTTCAATATTGACTTGATTATTAGATTCTCCATCATTCGCTTCGGGAATTTGTCCACATTGAAAACAAATATCTTCAAATAAACCAGATGAATAAAAGGAATTTTCATCGGAAAATTACATGTTAAACTATTTTTAACTTCAACTTTTTCAAAAAGCTCGCTCGCATTATCGCTTCATTATTGGCATTGGCATTGTTAAATTGTGAAAAAAAGGTCGTTATGCACATAAATGATCAGATGGTTATTTATTTGTGAGACAAATTTTGTACTACATATAATATGATAGGAACACTAAATAAAAAGAATACATCTAAAAAAAAACCTGCGCGCCCGCATCATTTTACGAGAATCTAAATATTTTATAATATTATGTTGCATCCCAAGTTTGATATTTACCAAAGAAAATAAATCACTCCTGTCTGTTCGCTTAATTCGGAAATGATACAGAAAAAATTGAACATCACAGAATTTATGGCTGTCAAGATTTTTATAGAAGTCCCATTCCTTTGACTTGCAAAGGGATCTTGTTCTACGTAATGTGATTTTAAATAAATGTTTTTTTCTTCATTCATTCGATATTAATGATGTAAGTCTATTAACGAAAAATTCATTGAACACAAAAAAATGTATTTATACTTCAAAGTGTTCTTGGATACTTTGAAATTCAAAGTGTACGCGATCATAAATTTTCCGAAAAGAATCATGATTGATATGATACAATAAATCGGTTAGACGTTTACAAGTTTCTATTAACATGTGATATGTATTTAAAAAAAAAAGTCACCAATAAATGCTAAACCTGTGGCAATTTTAAATTCACCATGCGTTATTGCGCAATGTTATTTTCAAAAAAAAAAAACACAATAAGCCTAAAATAAGATAAATTTAAAATGCAATGAAACATTACACTTTGAAAGAACAACAAATTATTTGGGGCCTAAAAGA